GTTTCCTGGTGGCAGCTGGCCAGGAAGTGCCCCCTGGCTGGAGAACACAACCGAGTGTTAGCTATGGTCAAGCCTGCCTTTAGGAAGAGGTCGGCTTTGGGTAGACCAGGGGAAGGGAGGTCATGGGGCCGGCCCTTTAGGGGGAGTCAGGGCCTAGCCTACCTATGACAGGCTCCTGTAAGGGAGAACCAGCCAATCCAGCCCCACCCTGGAAGTAATGAAATCCCTAGGTGGCTGGTTGGCAGCTAAACAGCTAATGAGCCTGATAAAGGGTTACCTGGGCTCAGCTGAAGGGTCCTAAAGACAGGAAGCCGCTGAGGAGAGGAGAGAAGAGGAGATCCGATCCCAGGAGAGCTCCCAGAGCAAAGACCCTGGAAGGGGTGCTCCTAGAGAGAGAAGCTCCCCTAAGGGAGAGGAGCTGCCAGAGATGACACTGATAGAAACAGCAGCTGAATGAAGACAGAGCCCTGCACGTGAGGGCTGCAGGGAATAGAGGTACAGTCTGACCTGAACCCAGCTCTGGGAAGGAGGGATGGGGGCTCCTGACTCAAGGAGAGTGAGGGCCTTGAGTTCGAGCCAGAGGCTGGAGCAGCGTGAAGGAAAAGAATTTATTTTGGGGTTTAATTGAACTCAGAGTGGACCCCAGCAGGGGACATTTGTCTCAGAGCTTTTGGACTGTGTGGAGCAGTTTAAGGAGTGCTGAAGAGGGTAAACTGAGGCAGGGCCACCCAGAGCCAGCTGAGGAGGAGCTTGGGGGTGCCACACCATGATGAGTCTGCACAAGTGCCCCCCATTTAACAGAACCGCTGCCCGTTCCCCATGCGGACAAAGCCTCCCTCTCTCCGGTCTGTCTGCGTGGGCCCAATGGAGCCTGCGTCCCTGAGTGTGAACCTGGAGCAGCTGAGCACAGGGTGGTGCCTCCCGCCTGACTCCTGGCCTCCTTGTCCCAGCTCCCCGGTGGTTCCCTCTTCCCTGAAACCTGTGGCTGTCTCTGAGCCTGCTCCCCCTGCCCCACCCTGGGGGTCCTGAGCCCCCTGATGGCTGGATGCTGAACTGGGGTGGCCCAGGGCCCAGCACGGCACCAGCAGTGTCACTACAATACTGTCAGACCCAGCCGGACAGGCATCAGGGTGCACTGGGATCCTGGCACTACCTCAGCGTTTGCGGCTCCCCTTGCGGGGCCTGGTCCGCACTCAGACCGGGAGCCCTTCGGGGCCGGCAACCTCTTGTTCTGTCTCTGCAGCGCCTGGTGCACTCGTGGGCATGATACCAATAATAACACTCACTGCCCAGCCCCTAAGGGCTGTGTGACAGCGCGGGGCCTTCCCCATTGCACACGGGGACCCTGAGGTGCAGGGAGGCCTGGTTACTCCCCCACATATTCACCCAGTGACTCCCCCGAGCTGCTGGACGCAGGTCCCAGGGATCAGAGCGCGGGCAGTCGAGTGGCACTGACCGGTCGGAGACTGGTGGGTGGGTGGAAGGAAAGGGTGGGGCAGCGGGGGGTGCGGCAAGGAGCCTAGGGCTGGGACGGGGGGCGGCAAAAAACCTAGAGCCGGCCCTGATTGGTGCTGGTACTGCGCTCACTGCCAGAGCTCCCAGCCCCTGACCCAGCCCAGCCTGTTGTCCCAGCGCTGACCCCTGCCCTGCACTT